TGAACAGCCCTTAATTACTCTCTGCAGATATTAATAACACACTGACAACTTAAACAGGAATGAAATGAGTTCTTATGCTGTTCACTGCTGTAACCCTATTATGTTTTGTTTCATGTTTCTGAGTCTCTGTTTGTTTGCTTCTTTGTTTAAATTCGTGAAGATCTATAACTAATCAAGGTCATTGCTTAAGATTAAAGCCTTTTTTTGTGAGTCAGGCCAGTTCTGTGGCGTCTGCCTCAGGGAGTAAAATCAGACTCCCGTTACACAGGAATTTGATCCATTTTGACTTCAGCAATCTGTGGGCACATATTGCAGGTTTGCACTCAGCAAGGTAACAGATGTCAGCATCTGGTTTTGACTTGTATCCCAAAGTCTGCAGCGTGGAAAACCTGAACTGGCTTAGACTGCTGTGCAGGGGGAGTGAAATTGGAGATTTGCTTTGGATTTACACTTTCCTGAAGCATGATTTCTTTCTGTAAACAAATATGTGGGTGAGAGTGGACCGTCAGGGATCTGGGGGGTACAGGTGGGCTCAGCTTTCCAGTCTTCCTCGCCACAAAGTGTAAAGGAAGTATTACTGAGCCTCTTTCTGACACTTGTGTTTTGCATCTCTCTTAATGTCTTCCTGCTACAAACCACGTCTCGAAGGTTAAGAGGATTTCCTTGGTTCTGTCTCCGTGCCTGTAATTTGGACCTCCTCAGATGCCACTTCCCAACCCAAAACCATTTTAAGCTGCTGACCTCAAAGCTCAGGCAGTTCCAGCTCTCTCTAACCTCTCATCAGGCCCAGAGCATCCTGATTGATTGTGACAATTCTGCCAGCTACCACTCTCCACACCCTCTGTCGCCGCCACCCACCTCACACACTGCTCTCCATTCATTTCTAGCAGGAAGGAGAAGAAACTAACAAAAACAGAAAATGGGTGAATCAAGAAACTCTCAGCAGATACATGAGCGGGAAAGAAAGTTCATTGTTGGGGAAAAAATATCCATCCAAATTGTTTTTTTAATGTTTCTGATGTTAAAGTGTTTTTTTTTTATGTTCAGAATCTGAAAATCTGTGTTGTGGCTTTTGATAGCAGGCCACAGAATAGACTGTAATGGAGGCCTTACATTTCTCTCTCTCTCTCTCTAAAAAAAGGCAAATTAACCATTAAAACTTGGTTGACAAATCCTCAAAGTTGAAGGGCCACCCAGCAGCTCTGAGCCTAAATATAGATCCTGCATCACTGAGAAATCAGCCCTTCTGCAGGCAGCAGTAGTATTGATAGATTGGGAGGGAGAAAGGGCACAAAATTATTCAAAGAGTTATGGCAAGGACTGGGACAAAACATGGAGGTTATCATCGCAGTTGAATACATCATATTGTATGGCACTGTGCAATATTGGTAAGATTTGCACTATAGAACATATGGACAAAAAGTTTGCAAGCGAGAGTAGGCCATTCAAACTATCAAGCTCATTTGGTTTTTAATTTAGTTGGTCCAGCTGTGTCTTGAACGAAGCCAGGGTGCCAGCTTCAACAGTATGACTGGGGCAGCTTGTTCCAAGCTCCCACGACTCTGTGTGAAAGGTTTAGATGCACTTCTTTTTTTTTTACCCTTAACCTCTTACCCCTTTCAGGTTGTGTGCAGGTTCATGATAAAAGCAGAGTAAAGTAAAGTGAAATCAGAGTAAGTCACGGCAGAGGGCGTGCATGTGCATCTGCAGTGCGGGAGTGGAGTGGGCAACCTGTCTCCTCAACTGGGCTGATGTGCAACGCACTACTGACAGTGCTTCCAGACAGGGTAAATCAAAGTACTGCAAATACCTCACATGGGCGGTTCTGCGACTGACACATGTAGGACACACGGGCTTGTTTCTGGGCTTGTAGCTGTCCCATTTACGGTACTTGACATATATTCTTTGTGTTTCCATTGAGAGTGGCTCCGGCTTTTCCTAAACGAAGACATTTCCCCAACAAAAGCCACGAAACACAATTTAGTTTAGGAAAGCTTCCAAAGAGGCAAGTCTAGCCTTTTATGGCAACAGTAGAAAGAAACGTCAAAATGAAAAGCGAAGTGACTTTTGTGACTGAATCTTATAATGATGGGGGTTGACGGGGGGAGTAGACACTCCAAGGTGAGCAACTGGCAGACACAGAAGTATCCAGTTTTGTATTCGTGGAGTGCAAGAAGCTCCTCTCCCCTCCTGTGTGCTCATCACTCACACACACACCTCCTTTTCGGCGTCTGCCGAAGCTCGGAGCCTTTCATTGGAAAGTTTGTGTGCCGGTTGTCGTGTGAATGTTTTTGTGTATGTGTGTGTTCCACATCAGAGCTCCAGAGAAGGTCTTTTGTGTCTGGGCTTGCCCTGCAGGCAGTCGTGTTGCGAGGCAGATTAATAATTACAGAGTACACAGCATCGGGAAAAACAGTTTCTGGATCTTTGATGTCAGACATGAGAGAGACCAAAATTACAAAGAAAAAATGTTATAAAGAGGAAAGGTCCTACAGTTCCTTTTTTATTTTTAAGGCTGCATTTCCTGTTATTGTTAGTGTCTACTGTTTGGCAACACATTAAAAAGGGAATATAAAAAAGAAGGCCTAGTGCCGTTCCCAAGAGGGAGCCCAAGTTTGTCATAGCAGTGGCAACAGAGCAACAGAACAAAGGCACTATTTTTACTTCCTGAGTTGTGTGATCCGTGTATTTTTACTTTTCCAGTTACTTTGTAATGCAATAGGCAATATCACATCATGGGCCTTGAAACTAAACAGCACATGAGTTATTTTAAGTAGCGCTTATTGTATGTGTCGCTATAATCATGTGTAGCTGAAATCCTTTTATGAAGTTATGGCTAAAATGTGCAGTTTGGCTTGGATGGCCTCTGTACTGTCTCTTATTCTTTTTTTTTTCCTCCATGAAGATCTCTGTAATGTTTTCAAATAAAGATACTCTGGGTGGAGAGAAGCAGTTAGTGAGAGAGCAGTGTTCCCGGCAGAAAAGTGGCATAACTCTGAAAGTTATTGTTATTGTATGAAGGAAAGAGCACTAAGATGTGAGTAGTTGTGTTGCAGCATAGCAGTGGATGTGGTTGGGAGTGTGTTGTGTGGCTGAAGTCTCCTGAATACCTATTAGAAATGATGTAGAGCCATGTAGGACTGAGATTACCCCATGTAATCCCAGCCTGGTATCGTCGCTTGTCTGTTCAGTTGTATCTCTATAATGTTAAGAAATCAGCATATTGCTGTCACTGATATTTGTGACTATACAGCACATCAGAGTAATAAACTGTACTCTCATAAGGGGTGTGCAGATATTAAGTGGTTTTCCTTGATTGGCAAATGAAAGACAACTTGTGGTACTAAACCAGCAGAAAACCCTAGCCTTTTATCTTCTTGCCTTTATTCATATCTATGATATTTAATCCCAGCATAACACATTTCATTAAAAACTGAAATGAGATGTGAGAGCTGAGGTCGTAATTCCTTTCAGTAAATATTCATTTCTTCCAAAAGAAACTCTCGTATGCGGCTCATCTTGTAGTCTTAATACCTCAACATTCCATTAGGGAAGAATCTACTTTCTAATTCCAAAATACCTCTTAGATCCTGAACTCATACTCACAGCTTTTTTGTTGTTTTTTTTTTTGTCCAAATGACTTTCTGGATTTTCTGTGTAATTCCAAGGATTATTAAAGGACATAATTCCTTATCTTCTGAACCATGTGAATAGGCTATAATGCCTTCCTTCCATTCTTCAATTAAGAGGGAATACTTTGTAGGTTTATCATGTGAAGACACAGTATCACAGGTTTAAAGTATTTAGGACATATGTTTTACGATCTTATTAACTTTGTTTTGGTTGTAAAGTTGATTTGCATGTACTGTTGTGATAAAATCTTGAACTGTTCTGCTCTTTTCACTTGTTTTTTCCTTCCTTACGCAGAAACACACAATTCTTTGGTGATCATCCACTAAAATCTCAGCCTGTTTGTTATAACCGCCATCAAAACGGACACTGGCTTAGGTATAGAACAGCTGAAAGGGAAAGTCCAAGACCGGAAAGCATGGCGAGAGATGAATTAGCCTATAGAATCGCCGAGAGTCGGATCCGACTGACCGGATGACATCATCATCATCACTTAACTCTAATAGATCTATGTTTGTAGTGCAGAAAGTAGTCTTTTGCTTTTGTAGCTGTGTAGAGGGGAACAAATGATATTAATGATGAGGAAGACCTGAAAACCAGTTCATCAGACCTGACCAGTACATGTGCTGGATGAGCTCTTAAAACACTTCGTATTGACAGCTTGTGTGTTGTCACCTCGAGCTGCTGAGTTGAAGATGCCGAATGACAATCTTGGTTTAATCTCTGCCCAAGCTCAGCGGTATTAATATGAGACAGCAGAAAACACCAGTGAAGCCTCTGAGTACATTGTTGATGCTCAGAAGACAAATTTATTCTCATTCTGGTTTTTAAGATATCTCAGACTTTTGAACAGCTGTTCAAAGATGGAAATGCACCTACAGTATATACTCAATAAGAGTGGATATGAGGTTACAGAGGTTGTATATGCCAATTAATTTGTATACATATATTTTGCATCTATATAGCAGGGTTTGCTGGAGTAATTTTGCTCAAGGGAACAGCAACAGCTTTGCAAGCTGAACCCATGAGATTTCTACCTTCGATCTGGTCAGGATTCCAGAGCCGTAACGGCAATGTCACTACAGAAGCCTCCTGTCCGTTCCTTTACTAGGCAGAGTTTATCTAAGGGCGTGCAGACTTTTTCTAACTCCATGGTGCTTTGGAGTTTCCGCAGGTGTGAGGAGAGAGGCCGCACTTTGTGTCATGTCATCTTGTACAAACATGACATTGGCCTCGCAAGACGCCCTCCTTCAAAAAAGGGGGTTCGCTGTCTACTGTGAGCGCGGCAGAGCTTTCTGTCACTCGTCTGTTGGTCCGGGTGCATGCTGAGCTCATGTGTGGCCGGGTCTGTGCCTTCTGCTGTGTTTCAGGGAGAAGGAGGAGCAGCTGGGGCGGCTGGCGGGGCAGCAGAAGCTGCAGGCCCAGCAGGCGGAGCAGGCCCTGGAGCAGTTCAGGAGGCAGGTGGAGCTCAGCTCAGAGAAGGCCTACTCTGACATGAAGCAGCAGGTGAGAGGCAGGAAGGAGCAGTCCCTGTGAAGACTGGCTCAGATCTACAACCTCCCCATGACAGTGTCATTGTCTTTTGGGTTGGGAGCAGCTGTGCAGGAACTGTGTTTTTCTCTAATTTCCTTGTTCCATTTTTTTGGTCTTAAAATGAGCCAAGACACTCTTCAGTGTTGTTCCTCCTCACTGGCATTGGAACTCACTGCTGCATCTGAACATTCTCTGATGCTGTTGATATCTGTCCCTGCTTTGTGCTCCTTAAGAAATAAACACAATGGGAACAGGACCCAATAGCATCCCAGGATCCAAGTCTGACTTGCCTGCTATACACAGGCCTGTGTCTGCTGGACAGCACACCGTCATGCTGGTGCTCTGTTCTGTGTGGGTTCTTGCAGTGATGCCCACAGAGCCCATGGCTGTACACTGAAACAGACAGAGAGCATAAAATGGCAAGATGTGATGCCCAAATCGCCTCAGTGGTTTTGACATCATGCCTTATAAAAATCCCCTTCACCACAGTGGTGAGCCTCATCCCGCACATAGTGTGTGCCGTATCCTGTTTACCAAAAACTCAGAGTTTGAAGAGAAAGAAACACAGAGGACTGAACAAAAATGTTTTGTTCTTTTGTTTTTGGAACAGCCGGCATAAACTGTTTTTTTTGTAGTCCGGCAACTTGTATTTGCTTTCTGCCCTACTACTGTGGAAGGTAATGACAGTGAACCCCTGGCTTAGCATGATGCCTACACAGTCTCCTTTTTATAGTTCCCTAGAACACTTCGCCTCCGCCTCCACGTTGGGAAGCCTCCCTGACGCAAACATGATTTGTCAGGAACTTCAGCAGTCACTTATAATGTACTCTTGTTGATCAATGAGGATAGCCTCAGTCTTTGCTAAGCATCCATTTAAGTTGCAGATGCTCTGAGGAAAATCATGATGCCACGTTGCTCTGTGCCAATTCCTTCCTTTCTCACTGCTGGGTAAAACTTGGGCCTGTCCCAGGACAGCTGCCCCGCAGAACCTGTCCTCCGTGGGGTAACTGGACAGGGAGAGCCCTCTCATGCCCCATGAGTCCCACAAGGGAGGAGTGCAATCAGTCCCCTTCTGCAGAACATACTGTTTATTAACCTCCATGAACTTCAATCTTTGAAGTGAAGGAAAACAAAGTAAAAATAATAATAACAAAGAAAACGAAAAACCCAGCTGTGTTCAATATTCACTCACACGCTGTTTCTTTAACCAGCTTCACTGTGCTGGAGGCTAATACGTGAGGATACGTGTGGATTTTGTCATTCAGGGATCTTCTCAGGCTTACAAACAACTTTCAGGCTTTGTCCATAGTTTTTCTGTATTTTCCTGTTGGCTTTTAGGTTAACTCTAGTATTTAAGAAACCATGTGGTTGTATATTCCAAGATTTGAGATTAAAGAAATGGTTAGGTTCCTGAAGTAAAAAATAGCCTAATTAGAGTTGAAATTTTACTGCTGTCCTTTAGGTATTTGCATCAGGGCTCACAAACTTTTTATCAAATGACTTCACATTTTTCAGTGGAATCTTGGCATGACGTCATCCTTTTTATCGCAGCACAAATGCTCAAAATGAAATTTACAATTCATTTTTACTATTTTATACAATTTCGGAAGTAGGTCTGGAAGCCTTAAATAGTTAAAAATTGTAAATAGAGCACAGAGTTCTTCGCTGGGGCGAGCTTTTACTGTTGATAAGCCACTTCCTCCAGTTAAAAATGCAGGCAGCGCTGCATCCATGTTTGAGTCATTCCGTTTAATGAAATGAAGATGTTCCCTGGGGAAAAGAATCTTCTTCAAGGACTCAAAAATTCACTGAAGTTTCGGCGACATACAATCATTGCAATCAGACAGTTCCTACAAATTCGCCAATAGTTTTCACCCTAATGATAATTTACCTTGGAAAATACTATATTTTCATACTTTTATTATAGACTGTTTTTATAGTTTGCTTTATTATTTCACTTTTATAGTTATTCCAGTTTTGCTCTAGATACAATATAGTGTAATGGTGCTTCACTACACTGGAACATAGGAGTACTTTGACAAAGTATGAACACCATGAGAAACACTTACCATTTTGTTTCTGTGGACCAATGACCAATGTAAAAAACAGGATAAGAGTGCCAAAATGCTACAGAACGTTTACAAAGGCAATCTTTCAAAAGTTTATCAAATCTAAAAAAAGATACCGTAACCAATGCCTGTTGTAAAAACAACAAAGAATTGTTTGCGGCTGCCCAAACAAAGTGCCTCACACACTGCCAGTGGGTGCAACTGAGTAGTCAGGTCCATCTTCCTGGCCAGTAATTCTGCTGCGATAAGATTCAGAAATGCAAACTGCAGATCCCTTGAGATTCTCTGTGTCGGTTTCGATAATGCAAGGTTAAATAATGAAAATCTAATGACTCTGGCACTCTAACTTTACATGCTAACACCAAGGAGGATTCACACCAGCAAATCCTGAGGACCCACTCTCCAGATGCTTCACAAGGGTTTAAAACTGTAGCTTCAGGGCCTCAGGCGCTTTATGTACAACGTATGGATTTAGAAAAACCCACTAATTTTGTGTTTTGTCTTAATTCATGTTTAATCAGTCTGTGCTGATGTACCATACAAATGACTGGTTGGCGTTGACCCAAATACTTAAATGAGTATAAATGGTGATTGAAGCCTGTGTTGCATTTATTGCAGGTTCTTTGTGTCCCTCACTGTCCGCCTGTCCGCCTGGCTCGCACGAGCTGTTGTATTGCGCCGTTGTGGTGGCGTGCAGTGACTTGTCTTCAAGGTTGCAGCTCTGCGCCCTGCAGACGTGGCATGGCTTTTGTATAGCAGTGATTTCATGATAGCTGTCACCGCCACCCTCCTTCCTTCACAGTTCAGTGACAGATGTTTCTGTCGCCCAGCGGTCTTTGTTGTTAATCAGTACAGGTGCGTCAGCACTCCTGACTGGTCATTGGCAATCATTTCGAGACCCAGCGCCTGAGGGTCTGCCCACTGTGGCATTGTTTCAGAAGCTGTTGCCTGCAACAGTAAGTCATCCTTTCTGCAAAAACTTACATCAGCACATAGCATCCGAACATCGGCCGCAAGTGAGAGCAGCCCGTTCTGCCCCTCACTCTTATTTGGTTCGGAAGGGCCACTGGCTCCAAGCAGCCATTCAGGCCCAGCTGGGAGAGCTGGGAGGCAGTAAGAGCACCTGGCTCTACGCAGACAAACAACCCAAGAGCTAAAATCGGACCCAGAACACGTAACTGTGAGGCAGCAGTACTCATCACCATCGCCTTCCTGTTCCCGTCTTTCATGTCGGAACAGTGTAGACTGTGGGTATGCCAGGGTTAATTTCACACAGAAATCTCCAAGGACGTTGCATATAGCTGAAAACTTCCTGGAAGAAAGGGAGAGAGATATCATGAAAGAAGGCAGTATAGAGTAATCTCAATGAGAAGATCTGTTTCAGCATCTACAGTATATATTACTAATTTATAATGTACTTCAAAGCCAGTTCGTAGGCGATGAATTGCAGCCTTAGCCGTACGATAAAACACATCCTGAGCCCTGCCAGACCTCATTATTCACTGGCCTTATTAAAAGTTTCCGTACTCTGCCATGTGCCTCTGTGTGTCTGACACTACGTTCAAAGTGAGAGAAGCATCTGCACATATCACCTCATGCCCCTCCGGACTGAAAGAAGGGTGTTAAACACAAAGGTTTTGAGCAGACGGGTCCTGGAGTCAGATGGTTCTGAACTTCTGTGAAGTTTGGTGCCCTTTGGAGCGGTGTGGTTTCCTTTGTGTGGCCTCTGTGTGCAGAAGAAGGCTTTTTTAAATTTTTGGACAGTGTTAATGCTGGTATGGAATAGTTTTAATGAAGAAAGACAAACACGTTTTGCTTTAGAAGTGAATAAAATCACTTTCCTGCATCACATGTCCAGTGCCTTCAGAGCTGTAGTTTTTTATTGCCAGCAATCATGCCACTGTGAAGTTAACTGGTGTAGAACAACAGGCCTCCGATGACGTTACTCTGTTCGGATTGACTGAGTTCTCTGTGTATCAGGGTAGCGTCCTCATATGAGAACATGTAGGACATACAGTACCACTGTACCCTCGGGTATACATACTTGTGTGCTTGCAAGCTCTTGAGCTGAGCCTTTAAATTATACGTCCACAACAGACAGAATAGAACAGAACTAATAACTGAAGGAGTGGGTTTCTTTCCATATTATTCTGAATTGCTCTGATGTGTAGTTAAGTTGCTGTGTGGAATTGGTTTGTTCAGCTTGTTGGGTGCTGTGTTAAATTCTTTCTTAATGGAAGAGGTGGGTCATTTCCAGATCCAACAATCGGAGTTCCTTCAGGGTGTGTGTGGGAGGGCTACGCGTGGTGTGGGAGCCAGCCAGGCTGTAATGCACTTAGCATGTACGTTTCCATTGTAACCGCTTGAAAAACCCACAAAGGCAGGAGTTTTCACACCTGTCTTCAGCAGTCAGTTTTTCCACTGGTCATTTGTCTCTGTTTCATTACACTAACATCTGTGATGGCATTACCATGCTTGGTAAAACCTTTCAGTGGATGCAGCATTTATGTGAAATGTTTGAGTGATGAGTTAACATCTGTTTCAGTCACCGTTACTGGAAAACACATGTGGTACACCTGGCTCCCTTTATCCCCTGTGAATTCACTAGACTTTTTTATTTTTTAAGAAATCTCTAGAACAGTATACTGTACAGACAGCAATTGCAAAAATTGCACTCATCTGGTTTCAGAAATAAAGGACCAGTCCCTGTTATCTGTAGTCTGCTGTCCCAATATCTGGATCAAGGCCCGTCAAGGCCAGATCTCAGTGTTGAAGGTTCTTGTTTTACCAATGAGCTCTGCCATAGAAGTTATACTGGGGCCATAGCCAGCATCTCCGTCTTTATTTAATTTGTACATGTGGCATCCCTTAGTCAGGATGTTTGCTAAAGCAAATTTGGTAGAATCATAAATGCCAGCTTACTGACCTGCATTATGGAGCATATGCCCCACTGTTAAGGCTGATGTTCTTTCATACAGAAACTGCAGTCCTCTGAAATCAAAAATGGGTTTCTGACCATCATCCTGTTGGTCAAAGTGGCACCCCCTGCTGGTCGGCCCAGGGTATTAGGGCAGAGTATCACAGGCCACACCAGCTCCAGCCCCACACAGACTGGGCCTTGTGCTGTTGAGTGTTGAAATAGGTCAGATTCCTCTTCAGGGCCACAAGCACAAAATTAAAAATTCTCTTTCTTTTCACTTTGTAGATGGAGAAAGTCGAGGCAGATCTGGCAAGATCAAAATGTCTCCGTGAGAAGCAATCTAAAGAGTTCACCTGGCAACTTGAGGAACTCAAGCAGAGATATGAGCAACAGGTCAGTCCTCTGCGAGTTTGATATGAGTTCTGTCTTTACGTCTGGCTTTCATCTCTCATCTCTGTCACTATGTCCAGCTGTCTGTGTGTCTTTCTACATTTTTGTCCATTTTATTTTGTGTAACTCAAAATCTTCAAGTGCTGCTGCCATTCAAAATACATCACAGCAATCTCGCGCTCTGGGTATTTTATTAAAACATGCTAAGCGTCACTTTATGGATCAGGCAGACTTCAGAAAGAAAGTGGCTAATCTAGAGACTAAAGAGTTAGCCTGGAGGATGTAGTATATGCATTCTGAGTAGGTTTAATTTCTCTAACATTATGTATTGTATTTTATTGGACAATTACATCAATGCGTCTTGATTACAAATCTAAAAGCACAACACCCCTTCATTTATGGTAATGTTACATATTAATGAATCCACGCAAAAAATGTGTTTCACTTCATGGTGCAAAAAAAAAGTTACCTTTGATGCAGACAGAATTTAATTAACTTGCTAGGACATCTGTTATCTATATAACTGGATCACTTTGTGAGAAAAACAGGGAAAAACTTATGTTAATAGTGCAACTTCTGACTGACAGATCTTTTGGCTTTAACCTCAGAACGTTTGAAACCCTCCAGGACCAGATCGCGTTTGTTAAAATAGAATGTCTGTAGGGCATGTCTCAGAGCCCCAAATTTAAATGACATCAATATTAGATGACACATTTCGAGACATCAAAAAAAACACATCAATGGTAAGGGTTTATGCTCTTTAAAGCTCAGTGCAGACTTTTTTATCAATATTTCCAAGCATTTCAAAGCACCCTCTTCTCGGTTGCTCTGATGGGTAGCATGGCAACCACAATAAAATTTAAGTTGTCCGATTGCTATCTCGGTGCTTGTGGGCTTGTGATTCTTTGAAGTTTTCTTCTTTTTTTTTCTTAAAGGAAGTCGAAAGTGTTGCATTGCCCTAAAAGACTTTAGAGGAAGGCGAACAGAATATGAGTGAGCTACATAAGCTCTACAAGTGATTGTATCAGTGTAGCTCTTGCACAGAAAGGCACCTGCTGAGATGAAGGTGGTGGCGATGAGGTTTTTTTTTAGTTTCTGAAGAAAGATGTTTTGACCATTAATAACGTGAATGCTCGTCTCATGTGTGCAGAGCGTGTCTTACAGCATCCCGATACCACTGATTGGTTCCTTGCACCAGGGACTTTTTAAAATTCCATCCTTCAAAGATTCTTGTTACTGTCATTTTTTTGTCTGTAAGCATTGAGTCAGAAACTCTCACCTCCAAAGCAGAATGACCCCATTCTGGGTATTGGAGCCTCAGTGGTTGTTGGGCTTCACTCCAGCTGAGCTGTCAGTTACTGACTGTAAGCGAACTGATCATGTTTTCTTGCGTGTCCAGCATCTCTTGTCTTACAAAAGACTGGAACTTCTTAAGCTCTGGAAGTAAAATCACAAGTAAATGTGAAAAACTGCTGATAAGGTCCGATCAGTCCGTGGATTCAGTAAAAAACAGAAAATCTTGGCTCCATGGTTGCCTGCAAAACACCGCACTAAAGCGGTGGTTATTATTTTTTCAAATAAATAGTGTTTGGCTCTCCAACATACAGCTTGGCTTGTGCCTGCCCATCAATTCGGAACCAAATGTGTTCCACGCTGTATGCTTCACGGCTTCCATGGTACTGTGCGAAGTTTCAGTTCACACCAGCTCGCTCTTGGTGCAGCAGTGAAGCACTTGTCCAATCACCTGAACGCCAAACCAAATTCCTCGCCTCATTTTGCATCTTCCTTATCTGGGTTCAGTCTGGCCCCGCCTCCCCCCTCCGCATCCTACCAGGGAGTCTCGATGTTTGCAGCCCACTTCAGTGTGGACTGTCTCTTGCAGTCAAACAGGGTCATTCAGCCTTGTGCAGACAGCACTAGAATGCCTTTGGGATTGAGCCCCGTGAGCCCAGCTGAGGGAGACTCAGCTTAGCTGGCGCATTGTAGTTGGTTTTCCTTGCGGTAAGCACCATTCCTTGCTTACTGGGTCAAGTGTCTTAGTTCCCCATGGAACCCAGTACAGCTTCCTTTGGTGAATCAAATTCTGATCCAGCTGGATGTTCTGCTGCATTCTGGGTGGGTCTCCCGCATGATAGGAGGAAAAGAAAGATGCAAACAGTTGAATTCAAACAGTCTTTCATGGACCTCGCATCACACAGGAACCCAGGAAAATACTACAGGGTATCTTTGGTGGCTTTTTGTCACAATGTCTTTCACTGGGTGGCCCCAGCTTCTTTTCTCAAAGCTTGGCCCAGTCCAGCTGCCTGTCGTTGGTGGGGATCCCCAGATCGACCTCCCCACGGGCTGGGGAGGCGCTACAGTGGCATAGTAAGGGATGAACCATTTACCACTGGGCACATTCCATGGATGATCAAGCTGTCTTTGTGTTGAGAAGTGGGTTGTGAGTGCATCAGAATCATGTTCCGGGATGCATTTTCAATGAGTTCCTTGGAGTAAATCAAACTTCTTATTTTTGCAACCTAAGGAGATTTGCTGAATGGAACTTAGCATGATGACACGTGCTCTTATGAATGTGTCTGTGTACCCAGACACAGAGATCACTCTCCTCTGTTGCCGAGTGGTTTCGGTGTCCAGGGTAAAAGAGCTTCAGCAGTGTGGGTAGAGGACGCCCAACCCTCCTGTTTTCAGCCCTCCTGGGGAGGGAGGCGGTGAAGGTAAAGACTGAAACGGTTGTGAGCAATAACCAAGAGGACAGGCCCTTGCCTCTTGCCCCAGGTTTTGCATAATTTTTCGGGGTTTCTGAAAAATGCTCTTGTACAACATTTAATTGACACAGAACTTTTTCACATGCAACCAAAAACCATTTAAACCATTTGTGTCTCTCATTACACTCCTGAGTTCAGGCAGCACAGCGCGATCCCATAATTTGCACTGGTCACACAAGCCTGAGTCAATTGCTGTATTTAAATTGTGTATCGTCCTTAAATCGTTTTGGAAGGAAACGCAGAAAAGAAACCTCAACAGAAGGCTGCTTGTCACAGGATCTGTTGCAAGTCACTTCTGCTGATGACTGTAGCACTTTGGGGTCCACAATTGCTACTACAATAGACAGCCCCTGATTTAGTCTGGTTGAGAGCTGTAATGATCGCAGGGGTGGTCCTAGCTAGTTCCCACACAGACGATGCCCGGCCCGCTTTCGTGGGCAGGCTCCTGTCTGCAGGACACGGGCGTCTCATGATGAAAAGTGAAAAGTGCCGCTAAAGCTAGCCTGCTTGCTGCCTCTCCTCACACACGGCCCTTTTCAAAGACAGCTGTGCAGTCATTTAATTACTAACGTGGTCGTGAAAAAAAAATGTGCTCATCCCCCGTTGATAAACTTTAACTCAGTTTGGCTCTGTGTGTGTGTGTGCTTGCTTGTAAACCCATCCCACTTTCATACTGGGTCACATTTGTTTGCAATATTGCCAAATTAAAAATGATCTTGTGTCACTCTTACACTTGTAACTGAGATTGCAGCATGGGACTGAATTGCCCTCAGCATCTATGAAAACAGTAGAAAATGGCTAACAATGTTGACCTTAATTGTGTCATCTAGGCAGCTCTGGCTTCATTTCTTCACTTCTTCACTTTTCTTTTGAACAAAAGGTCCACGAACCATAAAATGATTCCCTGTGAGATTTTTTATGGATTTATTTCTTCATTTCTGTTTTTTGCTTAAAATCCTTATAAAGTTCAGAAAGAACTAAGAAGTCCAAATGTAATGTCAGCTGCTGTTTCCAAATGATCTTCTTTGCTCTCACTTCTCTCTCTCTGTTTACTGTGTGGCAACAGTAACACATCATTCAAGAGTTATTAATTGCATAGCATGAGCAGGTCAAAAAGCACTTTAAGGAAGACTTCACTGAGCGATAAATATTTCGTCGTTTGGATTTTTTTAGCCAGAACATATATTTTTTTATTTAATTTTCACTCCAGCTTTCATCACGGTTTTTGGTGAACATAAGAACTAAGTGGAATTTGAGAACTGGAAGGACAGGAGACAGAGATTTTTGTTTTCGGTGTGTTTCGTGTATCGAGAGTCTTCCAACACAGCGACCTCTGTTCTGGCGTGACACAGCAGAAGCACGCTGTCTTGAAGTCACACAGGAGGGATTCCCGAACAGAAACGGTGTGACATTTCATCCTGTGGACACCATCCCGCGCTTTCAGGTTTTGAGGAGTCTGGCCGCAGACTAGACTCCTTGTCTGAAGAGCAGACGCCCTGCCCCCTGCTGAGCCCAGCCCATGCATCGGTCATCTTCCCAGCGCGACGGCACTCCGCGATGCGCAGTGGGTTCACACGAACGCACATCACTGCCGGGGCTGCCTGGCCATGTCCGACAGCCTCGCTGTTACCCCCGAGGCAGGGGGTGATAATCACATCAGGCTGATGACAGGGCGCTGTGACGGGGTGAGAAATCTGCCTTTGCTGCCGCCCCAAAAGCTTGTATCCAGCAGTCTTTTATAATCACGGCTGTCTAAACATGACGTTACAAAGAGGTTCGGGTTTTCCTTTTATTGTTGTATCCCTGTATTCTCTGCCTTTTTTTGTAAAAGAGTTCATTTTTCTCATACATGTGTGGGGTTTTCATATCAGGAACCACAATCTGCTTTGAATCGATTTGTCAAATCGCTCCTTACAGTCAAGCTCGTAAATTAAAAAAAGGTTTCTCTTTCAACACTCTCCTTATCCTTCTGTGTTTTTCTGGGTATTTGTTTTGTGAATGTAGTCAAAGCCTTTTTCCTGTGGCGATCCTATAAACATCAATTAAGTGGGCCATTAAATCGTAGATGCATTTTGCTGTGTTTCAAATTCAGAGGCAGCGGTTGGTTCTGTGTTTTATCTCTGGTTGCCTTTTAGGAATTTTTTATTTTCTGAAAATAATTTTGGAATACCTTCGTACATACTACTAGATCATAGTCTGGATGTCCAAATTTATTCCCTCCCAAATTTCTGTTTCTGCTTTGACAGATAAAAATGTGGAAAAAAAACAGCAGTGTGCAAAAATTCAACATGGTTTCTGTATATTTTTTTTATATTGACACAGGAGTGGTAGTATTTAAGAAAGGGGGTGCTGTGACTTTAAGACTAAGTGGTCCAGGCGCTATTCTTTTACACAGACAGGATCAGTTTGTGGAGGCTCCCACTGTTAGTCTCTTTATTTTTCTCTACTTGTGTGTGTGTGAGAGACCAGATTTTTTTCTTTTGGAGAGAAGAAAATGTCTTTCTCACACTGAAATTCTTGTATGTGTATAAATTGCGCTGGGGGGGGGGAGACGCAGTTCTTTTTTTATACTTCTTTTTTTTCTTTTCTGAAAATCCACCAAAACTGAAGAAAAATGCAACTGACTGTTTTCAGCAGCTGTGTGGCCTGCACTGTGCCAGAGGAGCTGGCTTCCTGCAGACCTCCATTCATTACCTGTTTTCAATGCCTGTTTCACTGCCTATAGTTCACAGGCCAGGTAGGGTGCCGTGGAGCACAATGTGGAAGGATTAGTATCAAAGCTGCGAAGACTAGGCCCTTGGTCTTGGGCTGCCATTCAGCCCTGGCGGGGAGAGTGAACGACTGGCCAAGGTCACCGTCTCCAGCGTGGATGGGACTGGGAAAGGACTCTGGGAATCGCCGCCTTTATATGTAATCATGGCGCAGAGATGCAGCACAGCAGGTGCCTTTCTGATACGTGTACATCTGTTTGTGTCGGAGTACCGTAGCTGACAACGAGATAATGCCTTCGCTCTTTCTTTCTGCCTTTCATTCTTTTTTCCTTCTTTTTTTTCTCCTTCTTTTTTTTTTTAAAGGAAAACAGCAACTGTATGCATGCGCCGTTCCTGCCATTTGCTGGATGCACCAGGAAATATCGTGCTGTCGAAATGCGGAGTGTTATTTTTTTGGGGGTGGGGGGGGTGTAGAATAAGACCGTGTTGAGGTGGGAACGCGATGGCGGGGTGGGGTGGGGGGGATGGGATTGGTCTGGGGGCAAGGTGGGGGGTTGCTGGACGCGACAGTCTGAGCCGGATCTTTAAAAAAAACTCGAAAATAGTAATGGCATTAAGATTAGATTGGGACTGCGGAATTAACCCCCGTTTCCTTCTCTTACGATTTTTTTTCTCTACTTACCGCAGTCTGTTGGAAACAATGGGATTATGAGTCGAAGTAGCTTGCAGGAGCACGTTTGTTGGGTTGAGTTTATAATTTTGCTCCTCCGTATGGCTTGCTGCCTCCTGTGAGTAAAGAGGACTGGGAGAACGGGAGAACAGGCATCGTGTGAAGCCAGCTTGCTTGCTGTCCTAGCAATTCGGAAGCGGACGATGCTGCTGGAAAGAGTGGGTGATTGTTGCACCCCAGAGTAAGCCTGAGCTGGCCTGCTCCGTACCTTGTTCTGGGGACACAAGGGTAGGCAGGGTCTGGAATCGCGCAGTGCTGCAACCTCATCGGGTAATTAAATGTGAGAAAAAATGAGGTAACGATGATGTAAAAGCATGCCGACTTATTCCATCGTGAGGCAAAAAGAGCCTCAGAGCAGGGCTGTGGACAAGTTGTCATGACGACAGGGATGTTCTGCTGATGAAGTCTTGCTCCTCGTTGCCCAATCAGATCGTGGAGCTAAAACTGGAGCACGAGCAGGAGAAGACGCACCTATTCCAGCAGCACAATGCCGAGAAGGACAGCCTGGTCCAGGATCACGAACGGGAAATCGAGAATTTGGAGAAACAGTCGCGGGCCGCTATGCTACAACACGAGAGCCAGACCCAGGAGTGGAGGAAACGGGACACTCAGGTGGGGTACCATTCTCATGCCTCCTGGTTCTGCTATTGCCGTTGTTCTGCTTGTTACGTGTGATGTTGTATTTACTGAAATATGCGGTCATTTAAAGTGTTTTGGCAGGTAGCATCCACTTACAAGACAAGATAAGGTTGTAAAATCCATTGTAGGTTGTGGCTTTCAGAACGTTATTTTTCAAATTCTTAATGGCGCGTGTGCAGGCAGGTGGACATCTGGGTTATTGCCTAGACATAAAGCAAAGAAAAAGAAACAAAACGCCCCGAGTTCACGCGATCCCGTATTTCTCCATTGCGCAGTGGGTTTTCAATGCTTGAACTGAAAAGACCAATGTGCAGGAACCACAGGTTGCCAGATTTAAAGGAATCTCCCGGCACAGTGCAATTCGGGCCTTTTATTCCAAACCCTAGGTTGCATTTTTCCATTCTTTTCTCTGTTTTGTGGGGTTCGCATCACGAATGTGAAACCGCGAACGCCTGTAGCCCTAGGAAATGTGCTGCAGTTGGTGGGGGCGCCCTTTGTTTCTCTCTCTGCACTGCAGGTAGCCAACACCATTCTCCTTTTTAAGAAGTATTTTGTTTTCCATTATGTCTCAGTTGGCCATCATCTGTATCTGGCATTTAAAAAGAATGTCGATGAACAAGGATTCAGTAGTGAGACAGTTATAATGTCTGTTTCTCCTCCAGCAGGTTTGTCCCACCCCACCCCACCCCCCACCCCAACCAGTCCATCCGTCCCAGGGTCCCGGTGGGGAGCCGTTTGACAAACGACCCCCAGCTGTGGATATGTTTGACGCTTCAAACTTGAAATGTGCGCTGTCAGCATGGAAAGAGCAATATTGGTTCATAGCCAGAGTACAGCAGAGGTGTTGCTTTATGAAGGACAGCTTATGGGCTTATGGTGATGTCCACACGCAGGCAGCCTGCTGTATGAGAGGTTGGAGCTGTGGCTTGCTCCGTGCATCAGAAAAATTAGAGCTGCAGCAAAAGTCCATTTTAGAAGTGATAATATATCTGAAACAAATGCAGGTCTGTATGGTAGACTGAGCCCTTGTGTCCTACAAAGGACTTAGACTTTGTACCTTTATACGTTGTCTTTTTCTTGAGATAAAAAAAATAATATTATGTCTGTATTATTATTTGAATACCTCAATTTACTTCTGGAGTTTGGAACTGAAGAACCTCTCCCACACACCAGTTTGACAATTCAAGGCCAGAATTTGATACTAAAGCAAAACACTGTAATTCCTGTGATGTCCCAGACAGACAGTTTCAGCAGAGCTACGGAGGGGGTGATGGATGTTTTTCCAAAGAACGAGCTCAGAAACTGGGTAAAATGGATGAAGTGCTCGCGATTTAACAACTGATGAGTCTGTTCATGTCCCACGTGTACGTGTGGTGGACACCAGGCTTGTACGTCTGCAGGAACTTGAGGATCACATCTAATTAGGACCTTGTTCAGCAACAACTTCTGTCACTCACTCAAGCATTGTCATAGGATTAAAGAATCATGTGTCCAGACTGTTGTGTTTGCGTATCACAGATGATGTATTATGAGACGTCAGAACTGTTAAATTTTCACTGAACTCTTAAAGTGGCCAAAATCAGAGTGGCACACTCATGATAATTGACAAACAGCAGCCAAAGTTGTCATAATTATTGTAACTAGTCTGCTGACTCCTTTTGGTATTCAAATTGGTTTTATAGTCCATCTGATTATTTGATAATCTCCTGAAGTACTTCATGGTGGCCAGCATGATCTTCTTGGCTACCACCATTTGTCTGTTGTCAGACTGGGACAATCACAGCTGACAGTCTTGAACAAGCTGAGCTCATACATAACATCACCTGGAATTATTTAGGGTCCTCTGTCTCCTGCAGGGTTGCAGACTGGATGATGTGAATCAATTCACAGGTCTCTATAATCAGGAGTAGTTGCAAAAGTATTAACTTTTGTTAGGGAAGTTCAGACCCCACAGGATGCTGACCAAATCAATCCCACAATGCCGTTAGGGAAATGATATAGTGAAGTGGGCCTGGGCTGGTGAGGAGGTGTAGTGCAGTGGGCCTGGGCTGGTGAGGAGGTGTAGTG